GTGGCCCATGAGTGGTTTAGGCTCTGCATCTCCTTCTCCACAGTTCTTCTCCATGTGTTTCTTGGTCGGCCTCTTTTTCTTTTCCCTTCTGGTGTCCAATGTAAGGCTGTTCTTGTAATATCAGCAGGATCTTTTCTCAACACATGTCCTATCCATCCCCATCTTCTGCTCATTAGGATGGTCTCCATGCATTCTTGTTGGCATTTGTCATACAGTTCTTCATTTGAAATGGTGTTTGGCCAGAAAATGTGCAGTATTTGTCTTAAACTCTTGGTGTGGAAGGTTGATAGTCTGTTGAGGTCTTCTTGTGTCATTCTCCAGCATTCAGAACCGTACAATAGGGTGGATAAAACACAGCTGATACAATTTAAGTATGGTCTTGATGGTGTACTGCTGTGACCTCCATATGTTGGCTTGTATCAGCCAGAGGTATGGTAAAAATTACTAACGTTAAGAAAAGTTTTCCAAGTCTCTTTTACTCAGGTATCGATGGCTGTAACACAGGAAGCAACATCCTGGATCTCCTAGACAACAGAGAAGATGTGTTCACTCTGGACCAGATGAGAAGGATGGACGACCACAGGACCAGATGAGAAGGATGGACGAACACAGGACCAGATGAGAAGGATGGACGACCACAGGACCAGATGGAGAGCGGCGGTCTCCTTTCTTTCATTGGGCTGAGTAAGTAATCCCTCACTAAGACTACAGAAGTATCAGTAATACGATTCCATCATTGAACAATGTAAAGGTCGTATAGTTGAGTTAAAAGTATTCATCTCTTGTGTTTGTGTCTCACAGGGCAGGACTCCTCTGTGCTTTTTTCTCACTCCTGGGGCAACTGAGAGTGGACGTCTTCCAAACCATCATCCCAGGGAGACCCAGACCCACCACAGACCACTGAACCACTCTCAGCACCCCAGTGAGTCCGAGACCCAGCGAGTACGGTTACGTCCTCCCTGCCCCTCCCTCCTCCGACACCGCCCGCTCCACCCACCAGCCGAGAGGACGAGGAGCGTCCCGTCCCCACCGGCACAGAGGACGTAGTTTGTCTCCGTCTGCTTCTTCTGTGCTGGTGGGTTTGGGAAGCTCCTCACACACACACAGGAAGCCGTCAGCAGCTCTTTGCATCTGCTCAGAAGTCAAGCAGGAGACAGATGCATTTGTCACATAGAACACAGTATGTTCATGTAAACTGTATGTACTGTATGTATACTGTTTATTTACCGAGTAGCACAATAAAAATCAATGTATGACAAACTTTCTAAATATGTCTTTATATTAGAAACAATATCATATTTCTGATATAATTCAAAAATCTGACAATGTACGACAATATACAATAAATATTGTGCAAGTGATAATTTAATATCTTTTTGATTTTCATTTGACTCAAAGGTATTACTGTTAGTACTGTTAAGTATTGATAATCATAATATTACATGTTGATATAAAGAAAATAGGGAAAGCTTTAGATTACAGCCCCAACGTGCAGCATTATTCTTCCCAATTTAATTATAACTAAATCATAAATAATTGAAATCTTTACTGATTGTTAACTAGTACAGAACTGATGGCGCATGTAGGTGCAAGGGAACAAGATGTGACGTTAATGAATAAAGGGGAAACAATGTGGGAACTTAATTAATTCATATCATTATTATAATTTATATATATGTATGTATATATGTGTGAATGAAATAAAAGTTATTGATAAATACTTTGTTATTTACAAGAACTATAAATGATTGAAAATTAGTTATTAACATAGCAACTTATTGAATTAACTGATTATTAATTTAGAAAAGCTATTATGAAAAAGAACTGACTGAATTATTGAATATATGATTGAAAAACTAAAACCTTTGAAAAACTAAAACCTTTACAGTATATTAATATCTGTATATACAGTATAATCCTTCTGAGCAGGCATTCTAGGCACGGGAGCAGCAAAGGGGAGGGAGGGGAGGGGGACGCAAACAGGAAGTCCTCTGTAGCGTAGGCCGTCTCATTTCGGAGACCGCATGGTCCAGCATTCGCGGTCCTCAAAGGCTGGGTCCTCTGAAGGATGCAGCCCCTGAATTGAGACACACCTACTGTCAGTGTTTGCAGTGGAAGCAGATACCGGGATCCAAGTGAACCCACCAACACCTGGCTCATTCAGCAGCGTATGCCCCGCCCACTACATCCATCATTTTCTGAGAGCAAAGGATTTTGTTTTGAGAGAAAAGCTTTTTGATTTGCAGCCAAAAATTCTAGTTTCATAAGCAAAACTAACATAATTTATTCTCAGTTTATATATTTTTACTTACAAACTTGATTTTTGATTGCAGTGCGAGAAATTTGCTCTAAAAACATTTTTTGTTTGTTTGCGTAATAAAGACACAAATATACCTTCATACTGGACGGTCATACTGGCTTTACTAGAGAACTAGAGCTTAGACCTTGTGCCATAACCTAAAAAAAATTGATCTCATGTCCTTGGAGTACAAAAATGTCTGCATCAAAACTGGGACAACTGGCATAAAATGATATATTGATATTACATTAAAAGTTAAATGTTTTTAACAAACTTCAGTCCTGATCATCACCACCAAATACTCAATATACTCAATATTCATTTTCAAAATGTTAGCCCTTCGAATGCCAGTTTGTTTACACGATGCCACTGTTGCTTTTATGAAAACAGGAAATGTATTTATTTTCTGTAGACTGAATGCTGGGATATGATAAGGATTAGCAACATTGATTTTGATATATTGCATCAAACACTGCAGTGGAAACAAGGACAATTTGCCCCATAGGGCAAATATGAGAAAATCTACTTATTATAGGAGGCTGAACTTCCAAAATGTAACAAAACAAAACCTCACACCGTGATGGAAAAATGTAAAAGCATAAGCATTATATGTCCTACATATATTACACCTGGACAATCAAACCCACAGTCCTGACTGTAAATTGCATCACAATGGCCACTTTTAATGGACAACCACTACAGCAAAGCTGGCCTTGGTGTTGACGGATGTCCGCATGAACTTCTGCATGCCGGCAGGATGTGAACGGACCTTTCTCTCCTGAACATGTTCCAATTCTATGGATGGCTGCCTGCAGTCGAAATCCAGGCATCAAGATGCTTTCGCAAATGTCAGCAATTATTTACATAAATATGACGGGAGTGATGTGAGGCAAACATCCACTTATACTGGACAAAAAGCCCACTAATTATGAACAGTTCAATAGATAAGACACCTAATGGCATGGTCTTATTCCTCCCATCAGGAAACCTGTTCTTACAGGATCTTTGCCACATTTTAAACATTCATATGTCTTCTTTCATAATAAGTCATGTCTTTTGGTTTCATTCCTGTTCTTTCGTTGTGGTCCACCAGTTCAACACTTTGTTGTTTCTTACTACTTAACTTTACCCGTCACGTCTACGCCACAATATCTGGCCTGCAATATGAAGCAGAAATCTACGGCTGAAGAAAGAATCGTATTTATTGCTACTCTATTACTTAATGATACCAACAACATAAAAATGATAAAGTACCTTTGTCTGGTTCCTCTCTGTTCAGGCGACTGTGGAGGAGCTGGAGGGAGAAGTCTCGAGACACAGAAGTCAGGCCTTGGTCCTGCAGGATGGACAACGCTTCCAGCGGCAACTCCAGCAACTTCCTGTCTGCCAGCAACACCACACACTTCCCTGGCTCTGCTGCTAATTTAGCTGCACACACACATGCACACGCACACACAAACACTTTCTCAGAACCCATCATTTATTTTAATCTTTAAGATGTTGCTGCACAACAACCTTTAACATGTATGGCTGCACTTCTGAAATCCATACTTTCTAACTGTTGTGTGACTGTTCCAACAATGTAGAGTTCATTCTTTTTAAAAAAAAAAAAAAAGTTCATCGGCACTATAATCTCCACTGCACCTGGTAAAAGTGCCGGGTTATCAAGTTGTGTGTGTAAATCGACGTTTATCACATCATATCACATGTAAAGCCACAACACTGGCCTGAAGGGGGTGAACAGAAATCTGCTGAACGGGTTTCCATGCCAATAAACAGATAAGAATCACAGCAGATGTTGGATGTTCATACGATACACAAGGCCCTCAGGGTGTCACAGACGCAAGAAAGCTCTCAACCAACATGCTCTTCCTTTACCTGAGCTCCCTTTCTCTTCTTTCTCTTTGGTTTTGGTCACTTGAGGGACTGCTGGTGGTGCAGCCTGGGTTCTGAGGGAGGTGAGGACAGGTGAGGATGAGTCGGGCTGAGCTACCTCACGTCTGACGACAACATAGGACAGAACCAGACAGCGCAAGATGTGATAAAGTGTCAGGAATAGAGACATACAGCGCTTGCTTTGTGTAAGCTTGCTCCATACATTTGTACCGGCCACATCTTCACTTCAAAGTAGCAAAGTTTCCTTCCTCGGGAGAAGGAAACTACATGAAATGTGTCAAGCCTTTGTAGAGGACAAACCTCGAGACATATACAATACGTCACCTTAAGCATGAGAAGTCAAACTGTGTGAGGAGTGGATTCAAATAGTCTTCCATATCTTGTACTACTTCTCTGAAGTGAGCTCCTAACATTTCTTCTGCGGCAGTTTTCTGTATAGGAGAAGAAGAGAAGAGAAGAGAAGAAAAGAGGAGTATCAGCAGCTGGAACAAACTATTTTTCATGCACACATCTATATGCTTGGATGGAAATGTGAGCTGTCCAGCAAGCGGGAGGTGACGTGAGGTGATGATGATTGCAGCGGAGTGAGCTTATTCATGAGGCTTGCAGTGGATAATGTTAATGGAGTGAAAGAAGAGCAGAGGTCTCAACAAGACGTACGCGGGGAAAAGCACGGGGCTCCTCGGAGGCCTCCGGCCCGCCCTCGGCCCTCTGCCGACAGGCTTGCTTGCTGAGGGCATGTCTCGTCTCCAGGCCAAAGGCCCAAGTCTGGTCCCTCAGTGCCAGCAGAGCCCGCGGGCAGACTGAAACCTTGGCCACCGTAGAGCACGTCAGGGTACCTGCAACCACAGTGTTGACACACAATCAGACACGTAATAGCCTGGTAATTGGTCCCCATGAGCACCCCACCCCCTCTCCTCCTGGACTCTTTGTTAGATCCCCCTCTTTCTTCTTCCATCTCGTCTTATTTATTTTTTTCCCCTCACTGTTTATCCTGTTACTTGTCCCCATTTAAATGCTGACAACAATGCTACGAATAGCAACGTATGTGTCATGAAGACCATGTTCCCCCGGGGCAATGGGACAAACTAGATGCGGCATAAAATTACATGGACGGACGGACAACCCAGAAACATAATGCTTAAAGAGGCATAAAAAAGCACGAGCCTCTAACCTGGAGCTTGCGTCGTCTTTCCCTTTTGATCTGGAGCTTTGGTCATCTCATAGAAGGCCCCGTACAGTTCTGACCTAAACACAAACACAAGCAAACAATGTATACTGTATGCACTACTTCACATGCTTACTTTAAATATCTTACATTTCAATTACCATAGATGCATCTCTTTCCACAAGTACACATACATAGTTTCTACATCAGCCCTCTAGTGGCAGGTGTACCACACAGCAGGCCCCTTCATCTCTACAGTGTTCCTTCAGCCTAAAACCTATTGTGACTCATATACCATGAAGCAGCCAGAGGCCGATAAGGAGAGAATTTATAGCAGGGCAAAGAAAGGTGAATGTAGCGAGAGACAACGGACGAGGACAAAAGAGGAATTACCCGTCTTCAGAGTGCTGAAGCAGCAGGATGTTCAGGTTGGGCGGAAGCTCTGCGAGGATCTTTAGGTGGCTGGGATGGATGGTCAGTTGGCTGAAGGCCTGCAAACCATAAAGGTGTTTCAAGATCATAAATACAACGACATATTAGATCAACTTTTGCCCTTGTTTTTTTTATTTTTCATTATCTGAATAAAATCATTTTAGAAGTGATTGGATGTCGGGTTTTAAAAGTTTGATTGTTGCCTTTCAATTTAAAAGTATTTTCAAGACATGCATTGATCTGACGCAGACATGTCAGACACACAACCACATGATGTGGCAACCCCACGTACTACACACTGTTGGCCAGCTGCGGCAGTATTAGTATTATACTTTAAACCTTTCAAACATTACAGAATTAACGATTGTATTTGCTGTAGATGAACTAACACTATATTAAAATGTTAAGCATATGGAGAATCAGGTCCTCGGTTGTTCCTTTGGTTCTGTGATGAAGCACTATTTTAAAAAGGTAACAACAACTAACTAAAAAGACAGAGTTGCAGAATCTCAGGTTTGAGTATAGTAAATGATTTACTCGTTACTGTAATTATTAGAACTGATCTGAAAACAACTCATTTTAGATCTACAAAACCAACCATGTCATTTGTCCGAAAAGGTCACAGATGAAATGATGACATTTCAGTCACGTCCGTGTTACAACGATGATGATAATATCACAATCAGTTTTCACTTTGTGATGTCGATGATAAAGTGCATTTTTCAATTTCTTCTGAAGACATAATTGTTGCTATTAATAACATAATCAAGCACGAGTCACTCAACGTGCTTTGAGGGAAATTGAGGACTATATTGCATACAGTAATATATCACATAACCAGTTGGTTGATTATAAGGCAACTATTCATTTACATTTTTACTTCTAATATTTACACATTAACATACTTCTGTGTTAACATTCCAAAAGATTAATCTGCATTTTAGGGGGCAGATTCCTGCTGTATTATATATTATATGTATTATATAGGGCTGCAGATGTCCTCGAGTTTTCACACACAGTAGCTACTCGTGCATGTTGGTGTAACTTTGAAGTGTTTTTTCTTGAAGCTCCTCTTCTCTGTGTGGTTTCAGAAGTGCATTCAGAGCAAAGGCCGTAACAGCACCGATAGTGTGTGTCCGCCATCAAGGGAATTTACTGAGCAGAGTATGACAGCATCCATAAATCATGAGTGGTGGGGTTTGGTGACCCCCGCTACCTTGGAGAGGCTATTGAGGGAGTCCTCCGCTCCCTTCAGCATGCCGCTGGGCCTCTCCTCTTGAGAGAGGAGCAGCTTCCTGTGCAGGCTGAGCAGAGCCGAGAGCTGGGACGCACTGGTGCCGGCGCAGGCAGAGCTTAGGACCTCGGACATCGCAGCGACAGCATGGCAGCTCTGGGGGAAAAAAAACAGAAGATGAAGGAGGGCGCTGTTGGTAATAGCAGGAATTATAGTGGGTGATGATACCGCGAGGAATGCAAGGGACTGTGATGTGCACAGAGACACCTGTAGGTGTCCTACATGCATCATATGGACAACTGTTTCATACGATGTACTCTATGTGCAACGTCCTACAGAAACGAGACTCGGGCACATATGATCTGATGCACAATACCTGAAACAGGGCAAGGTATTGACCTGACGCTGCAGGGTCAGACTGGCCATGACACTCCAACATGTTGAGAGAGGCATCAGCCAGGATGGAGGAGGGCAGCTTGTGTTGGAGGCACAGGCTGACGGCCTCAGCCAATGCCTTACTGGCCTGTGCCAACAGCTGCTGGGCTCTACGCCTCCTCCGCTGCGAAGAGGAAATCACACACACACAAAATGCAGGCATCAGTAAGTCTGTGTAATCAATCAATCAAACAGGTAAGGGTTATGTCACCCTCACCCTGTAATCATCCCTCCTCATCATACTGGCTGTTAAAGGATTCTTTCATGAATCGTCTCTAATGTGAGTGATTGATATAGTTTGTGACAGGAGAAAAGAACATCCACAGTCGTCTTTTCCTATAAAAATACATTCCTTTGTTCAGCTGAAGCTAATATCACGCTTACTACTGGCTGAAGAGTGCTTTCCTGTTAGCGTGGACAGCAGTTCTTTCTTGAGCTGAGGGGGAGGGATATTACCACAAACAGGGAATCTTTTCAAAGACTGTAACTTAATTTGTCTTACTCAGACTACTGAAGCCTCATATTAGCTTCTATTATGTTGTAGAGTGCATTTTTTACACAGAGCAAAGACTGTGTGTTTTGTTGCCCATCTCTTGAACTGGATTTACAACAGGAAGTGAGCTCTTCACATCCAGTATGGACAAGAGGAACAATTGCAGCAAGACTTGAAAAACTTCTCCTTTTGGTCCAACTCCAAAAAATAACTATTTCCTGTAATCTTTCAATTTAGCCATCTACCCACTGCTGGGTTATGTTGGTTTTTTCACATCTCATAGACCTCTCATGCGCTCTCAGTGATATATCTACATCAAGACTGAACTTTGCATTTCCAACTTGCATAATATGAAAGTGGAAGTTATTTTTCTAACCTAGCTTAAAAACATTTTTAGCTGGAGCGGAACTGTTTCTGAATTAGGGCCGTTGTAGGGAAGTAAAACATAATAATCCAGAGCCAGGAGGAGGATAATGTTCAGAGAAAAGTTTTCTGGGATTAAAGTCGGAAATTTACAAGAACAACACTGAGAACATTCAAAAGAAAAGAACCTATTTGAGTTATTTTCTTGTAAATTTTCCCTTGCTCAGTTTTTCTTTTCTTTAACCCTATAACGGCCATAATATGCCGTAATAGTTATTCATACTTAAATATATTTCAGTGGTTGAATATCTTTCGTTGAAACTGAGAGGACAATTAAATATTGTATTGGTATGTTTTTTTAACCCCTCTAAAGACCTCTCTTGCATCATCAACCAGGTGTTATTAATGCTTTGCTTTCACATTTGTAGGTAAAAGGCACAGACTATTTCACATATTTATGTTTACATAAGGCTAGAAGGTTCTATGCTAGTTTACAGCAGAACACATCACCTGATTAAAGCTGTCTGTGGAGGTATTCATCTCATGTTGATACGATCCAAATGATACATTACATTTTGTTTCATCGATCTCCATACAGACAGCCAAGTCAAGACTCGACCTTTCAACATTACTTCTTGAATCTAACTCAATATTCCAAAATGTTGCCACATAAATAATATATTCGAGGCTTATTTTATGTGGACAGTAGATCTCTCTGCGCAGACTTTCAATATGAGAGCGCCCAGAAAGTTACCTCCGGGGGATTTGAGATGTGAGGCTCAGTATGAAGACCTGAGATTAGAGATGAGTCAGAAGGGATGGGGTCACTTGTCAGGAGGTATGTACCTGCAGCTCAGCACTTTTGGCAGAGGTCACCCTCGCCTCTCGTCTGATTGATTCTCCGTCTTTCTCCGAGTTCTCCTCCTCCGCGGAAACGGCTTTGGGGTCGGACCAGGCCTCCTCCTGCACAAAGTTATTTCAAGATCACAGAACAATGAGCGTGATTAGTGCCAAATCCCCTCATGATCACAAACCATAAAGACCTGAACTTCTCCGTCCGCAATTATGTAAGCTGACATCAATCCCTCTAATCACTATAAGCTATAAGCAACTTTTTCCAGGTTATTTCTCCGTTGGTGTGTATGTGGATGCATCAGGATTCCCCAAAAAATGGGAAATAAATCCTGCGAATAAAATCCCCCAGAGATTTATATGACAGCCTGTTGTTTGTTTCTGGTATGTTGTTTTTGTGGTCACAACATTTCTGAAGGCATAAACAGCCTGGAGCAGAGTTACCTAATAAAAGGACAAAAAAGATTTTGTGTTTTACTCTAAAAGCATCATCGGGTGCAGGCAGAGATGTCAGGAAATAAATACCAGGTATGGCAGCTGATGAGGTCACATGACTACAGTTATATGTTTCTTCCTTACACCTTTTTTTAGGAATCTATTCCGTGCTATAAAGTTCTTAATAAGGCAACTTCTCAAATCAAAAGATTAGGATCATCTTTGGTCCCCAGACATTACATTACATTACATTACAGTCATTTAGCAGACGCTTTTATCCAAAGCGACTTACAATAAGTGTATTCAACATCGGTATTCAAGAGAACTACTAGTCACCAGAAGTCATAAGTGCATCTCCTTTTTTAAACAAGCATCTCGGAGCATAAACCAGAGCCAACGTACAGTGCAGAAACAAACTAATACAATAAGTGCAACAAAATAGTATGAATACAATAAGTGCTGAGTGGAAGGCTCAGGGTAGTACTTTTTGAAGAGGTGAGTTTTCAGCCTGCGCCGAAAGATGGGCAGCGACTCCACTGTCCTGACGTCAGTGGGGAGTTCATTCCACCACTGTGGGGCCAGGACAGAAAACAGCCATGACCGGGTCGATCGGCCGCAGGGACCTCTGAGCGACGGGGCAACCAATCGCCCCGAGGCAGCAGAGCGAAGAAGTTGGGCGGGGGTGTAGGGTTTGACCATGGCCTGGAGATAGGAAGGAGCTGTTCCTTTCACTGCCCTGTAGGCTAGCAACAGAGTCTTAAACTGGATGCGAGCTCTTACAGGTAGCCAGTGTAGAGAACGGAGAAGGGACGTTGTGTGGGAGAACTTGGGGCGATTGAACACCAGGCGAGCTGCAGCTTTCTGGACAAGCTCCAGAGGTCTGATGGCCGACGCCGGGGCTCCGGCATGTAGTGAGTTGCAGTAGTCCAGGCGGGAGATGACCTGGATGAGCACCAGCGCCGTCTCGTCAGTGAGGAAGGGGCGAATCCTCCTAATGTTGTAGAGCAGGAGTCTGTAGGAGCGTGTAACCGATGCCATGTTTGCTGAGAATGACAGTTGGTCATCCAGGGTCACACCCAGGTTCCTCGCAGTCCGAGTTGGCGTCACCACGGTATCGTCAACGGTATCGTCCGATCCAAGAGATGTATTTCAATGGTGACAAACTGGCGAATTTAAATATATTGTTCTGTGTTTCAATTTCAAATCTCTTCATTGCATTTCCTGATACTCCCTGTGATTCTTTACATCTATCAGATCACATAAAACACCTCTCTGCACCAGACATACTGTACGTGTACATTTATATACATGAACATTTGTGTTGTCTACAGTACCTGTTCATGTCTGACCCAGCGAGCACACAGGTACATGGGGTCCTCCTGCACAGCTAGCAGTCGGAGGTATTTTCCCATCAGACTCAGGCAGAAAGCTCTGGCCTGCATGTTGTCCGGGTAGTGAGAGCTGACCGCAGTCAGCTGGCCCAGGACCACCTGCCCCAAGGTACTGCCCACACTCAGCCATTCCTGGACAAGACCCAAGGGAGTTACGGTCACGTGAGGAGATGGATGGAGGACAGGCGATGTTCTTACCTGTGCTATCATACGACAAACACAAACCTCGCTACATTTCACTGGACGCATTGACTGACTGACGTTCAGGACTTGGCTGAACAGAAACCCCATAATGGAAGCAAATACTAACACATGTTTAATGTACTTTTTTTTTTTTTAGAGTGGAAGGAGGCGCGGTGCCTGTGGAGGAAATATGAAGCCCTTGAGCAAGGCAACCCCAACTGTCCGGTGAGGCTGCCCCGTCGCTCTGACTAACATCTCTCCATACATTCATGCATGTGTACAAATCCTGTTCTGGCCTGCGGCAGCACACCACAAATAACGTCTGAGAAATATGTTAAAAATACTTTTAAGACAATTTTACACAACTTCATCTCAACAGCTTTTTTACATGCCTGAACAAAAACAATCTATCCAGACTGTAAAGAACTCAGCTGCCAGGCTTTTACCCAGAAGGAAGAGACGTGATCACATCCCTCTTGTCTGAGCTTTTAAGATTTTACAGGTTACTTTATTGTCTCTTCGTGATATCTTTCCCTGCTAGATCTCTAACCTCTTAGCACCGTACGCGCCAGGACATACTTTTACTTTCCTTTTGACTGTTCCAGAGGCCCGGCTGTAAACCAAAGGGGACAGAGCGATTGCAGTCAAGGCCTCGAGTCTCTGCAACGATCGGCACGAGAAAAATCAGGTCGGCCGAGTCAGTGATCTCCTCTAGGATACGAAACTTTCATCGGAAAGCCTTCCCTGATTTTACTTGTGTTATAGTTTACTTTGAACCGTCGGAAATATTACCTTTCTCTACACTATATATTTTTTTATACATCAAATGTTTTTTTTCATTGCCTAATTTATGACTTGTCTGTTTAACTCTGCTGCCTTTGTGAAGCACTTTGTAAAATAGATTTTGAAATGTGATTATTATTATTAGATTAGAGGAGTCACGAGAGTGTATGCTTACCATTGACCCGTGGCTACTTTTCCTAAACCCAGCACTCTAGTAAGGAATCCTAAATGAATATTCCAAATCGAGGCAAAACACTCCAAACAGCTTAAATCCTGGGCGGTGGTGTCCCAGACAAACACACCGGTGGGGAGCTGTCTTGGAGTGATGGCTTGTTGCTGCACTTGTTTGGTTATGACAGTGATTAATAATACATAACTGCTAATCAAGCACTTCATGCGGTTATTTAAAAGCACACCAGGGCTGTGTGAGAGACGCTAAACAATCACTGTAGTGTGTTGGTTAGCCACAACAGATTTGCTCACGTGTGGTCACAGATGAGGGCAGCCTGGTGTTACATTGCATGTTAGTGTCCCCAAGTGGCAATGATACGCAGCTGACCTTCTAACCTCTACAGTGAGCTGGACTTCATTCACATGGATCTTAAACATGTTGATGTTTAGAGTCATACTTTGTAATGCAATGCTCTTAAAGTGTTTTAAATCGTTTTGAACAACAAAGGAGTTCTCTGAGTTCTTAGGTGTAAGCTTTATTTCTGAGTAGGATGAACTAATTGTTGTTGTTGATCTTTTTACTTGGTGATGATAAAAAGATAAAATAATGACTTATTCTTTCAAATAACATGCTACACCCTCATAATAAAAATGACCAGTTAATGCAACAGTTTGTTGCCGTAAAAGAGCTTTAGCATAATCTGTTCTTTTGCTACATTAATTGATGTTATAGCACTAGAATAGAGTAGGTCGTAACGGAGACCTGAGGTGCTTCTGTACCGACTAACCTGTTCTATGGAGTTGGGCTCAGGTGGGCAGCGTGTGAACTCCTCCAGCGCTATCTCAGCAGAGGTTTTCCTCTGGCGGGCCAGAGCTCGGCGTGTCGTCTCAGCACAGTGCTCCTCCAGCACGGCCAGACTAAACTCTGCCAGGGCCAGTTGCAGACGCAGCAGCCTCCGCGCGGCTGCCAGTGACACTCCAGGACTCTGGCAAAGGATGAAAGCAGCGGCGTAAAAAACTCAAGGAAGTCAAGTTTAAATGACAAAGAAAAACTCCACAGAAGTCCATCTGCTTCCCTGTTTAAATGAAATCAGAAGCACCTTCACTTTAGGATATTAGAAAGTCTGACTTGGAAACAATTGTTCTCAAGCGGCGGGTTAGGGTGCAGGAGAGGGCTGTGACCATGAGCTCACAGACAAACAGCAAACTTAGGCAAGCAGTATTGTGAGACATGGCGAATGAGAAACTTGGGCTGAGGTTTGAATGGGATGGAAAACCACGAACTTAAACCAAATTGAACATGGAACAAAAGCTAGCACATGACCCTCATGAAAATGAATAAATGAGCATGATTCCAGTGATCCCAGCTGTGGTCTCTTGTTTCCAATGTAGGTTGGATATTAAGACTTAATGGGCCAGCAGCGCCATCTGCTGACAGGACACTCACTGCTACAACCCAGCCTCCAGTGGGAAACATCCACAGACTCTTGTACTGATGGGATCCACAGACTCTTGTACTGATGGGACGTTTGCATCTTTTGCTCTGTTAAGGATCCACTTCTTCATCGCTTTCCTGGTTTCCTTGCCTTCTCAACACTCTCTTTCCGTGCCAACCTTTGACCCCTGACCATCAACGCATCGTCTGGTCCGAGGACCTCAATGTAGAGATAAAGACTGAGGATCGGCAGTCGGTTTTGAAACGTGTCCACAACGTGAAGCACCTCACCGAGTCCACTGGTCTAATACTACTGTGGCAATGATGAATATGAATAATGATAAATGTCACCTATGCTAATCTCACCCACGTGTTTCGGCCTCATCTCTATTTTTGGAAGTCTGTCTTTTTTGACTCACTCTCAGCCATCACATCTGCTAACATCCACCATCACATGTTGTAGTTTTTCTCTCACCCCTCTCATTAACATTGCATAAAGGACGCCCTAGAAAACATGCAGGGGTTTTGTATTGTTGCTGTGGTTTTTGGTGCTGAAAATCCCTTTAAAAAAAACAAACAAACAAAAACATCCACAGACGAAAAAAAACTCAAAAGCATGATTTCGCAGTAGATCTGAGAGTTGTTTGATCCACCTTTCATTCAGGATTCCATCAGCATGTAAGTCAATGCTGCAGCAGCCGGTGTTATGCCGGGCCGTCTCTGGCTTGGAAGCCCTCAGATAACCCCGTCTGTGTGACAGCTTGTGTTAGTGTCTGGATAAAGCGGGATTCGTGCGACCCATCTGATGTTGACAAGAAGCAGTGATGGAGGCTTTACCTGTCTTGAGTCGGAATATCTCTGAGATATGAACAGCAATACACACAACAGGGCCTTAATGACCTCATGCAGCTGCTTAATTGTGATTCGGTTAATTAGACTCCTTTGGAAATGAGACGCGCAGAGCACAAACAAAGCCTTGCGCTCTGTTATTTAGCCACAAAAAGGGTTTTTCACAGGAGAATCCTTTCTTCTCTCAACGCTGACAAACACGCTCGTATACTCCTCTAAATAGGATCAAACATTTTGCCGTCTGCACATGTCCTTAATGGGCCAGCAGTTTTAGCCAGAACTCAGCTTCGGAGCTGGAGAGTAACAGCCGAGCAAACCCACAGTTGTTCAAAGCTCATTTTTTTAATTTTTACAATGAGTAATGCCTCCGTCCTCTGGTGCTGGTGTTCATCTTCAGCCACATTCTCTGCTGATCAGTGTCATCAAAAGAACGTTAAGTAGAGTGGCCGGTTAAGAGTGTGGATGACAGAAGACGCAGTGTTTTTCTGAAGGTGTGAGGGATGAAATGCCCCGCGAGGTTTTTCTAAAGGACATCGTCACAATAAAAAAAATGGATTTTCAACGAACGTGCATGCACTTTATTTACCTCCTCCTGTGGGGGGAGCAGCGTCTGAGCATTCAGCGCCACATGTTCCTGCTCTGTCACAGCCAGCTGCATTTGGGAGAGGCCATCGAGCAGGAAGCGCTGTTCGTCTTCTGTGTGAGCAGTACGGCTGGCTAGGATTCTGCAGAGAGATATTGTGACGGGTGAACACAGATGGAAACGTACGGTTGTGTGAGTGAGACAAACGTAGTCAAACAGAGTATATGAGCGCAGACTGAGCCTCATGTATGAACAACTTATATGATCGGATTTGTTCTTATGTGGATACTACGAGTGATTTAAAAACTTAGTGGCATTCACTAATTTCATGATACTTTGATTTTTCTCTTCGGTAAAAATGAAATTCTTGTGGTCAGAAAGTGGTCAGTCCCTAAAATCATATTCCCCAATATCAATACATTAAAAATGACATTAAAAATCAACTAAATTATGTATAAATAATATTCTGTTGACCATTTTATCATCATCATCATTGCTTCACAATTTACTGAGAGGTTTGTTAGATTTTGCCAGCGTATCTCAGCTCAGCAGCATAAGCTGCAGAAGCCCTGAGAGGCAAAAGAAAAACATTGTGGTGATCCATTCAGTCTGATCTACATTGTCTTCTCCTCTGTGTTTATGACTTAACAACAGGTGGGAAGAAAAAGTTTTGCAAGGAGAGAAACTAAGTTTTGGGAAGTGATTTTTCTAAATGTTTCTTCTTGTACTGCCTGTTTCAGCCACAAGAGGGTGAAAGCATACTTTTCTAGGTAAGTTTTAACTAATGTTCTTGCATGAGACCCATTGTGTTTGAGTCTGGTGTAGGTGTAATAGTCGTATGAAATAACTGTTATGTGCTGACTTTCAAGATTTAACTCTCAAAGCTATCTACATGCACTCAAGTAAGACTAAACATGGTATTTGCATACGGCGTTTTGTACGGCTCCAGACTGACTCACCTCAGACCATGTGCGTACTCCACATGCGTCTCCGCTGCGTGTTCTTTGTAGCCGAGTTTAGTGAAACCACTGGCACACTCTCCGAGTGTGTCACAGGCGGCCATCAGCCTCTGCACAACCTCGTTGCTTAATCTCTTTCCGGGTTCACTGCCACCAAGGGCACGTATACATTCAATGGCTCCCCTGGAACACAACGAAACACACCCCATAGGATCAGGATTTACATTCCTTTCTCCCATATCTTGTGCCTCTGAACAGGAAGGCCTGCAAATAAAGCATATTTCTACTAGTGCAGCTTAAAAATGATTTAAAAAATCCAAAATAAAAAGGACAACACAGAGGGGTGATTTGTGATGACCACAGACGTTTGGGGTTACCTCATCTCTAATGAGGTGATCAAGAAAGTGATTCCTGGGGCTCGGTTTACCCGCTGCTCCAGAACCAGCTTCAGAGCCACACAGCCTTGTTTTATAATCTGTTCAGCCTGCGAAAGAAAAAAGGCATGATGGGAAAAGTATTCAAGGTAATTGTTTCGTAGAGGGTTTTAAGAAGCTTGTGTTTCTATACCTTGGTGTGTGCGTCTTGCTCTCCCTGGCCCACTACAGCTCTGAGCTTGGTGAGGGTGAGCTGGTACCAGAACTCCTCATCCCCACCCAGAGCGCTGGCTTTGTCCAGCAGGATCAAAGCCTGCCCAAAGTTCTGCTCTTCACAAGCCAGAGTGGCCAGACTGAGCAGACTTCTAGCCACTGCTTTCAGGTCTCTGAGCTCCTGGACAGAGGGGGAAATGAGTAATCGTTATAGATGAATGGAAAACAGAAAACTCAGTTACTAGATTTTAGCCTGGAAACAGGAGTTTAGTTGGGTGGTGTTACAAAATCTGGGCAAAACTCAAGATTCATTTACTTAAATAAAGATGAAATGACATTTAACTCTATCTTTGTTGTTATTTGATAACCGCTAATAAATAAAACTATTTGTATAAGGGCAAGTACAAATTGACTCTGATCCCCTTGAAGTGAGAAAAAAACAAAAAAACAAAACGTTGAACCAAGGTAGTAATGTTGTTTTACAGAATTCTATGTGAGCAAGAGTGAAAGGTCAGATTCGCAAACTGCGATCTTCTTCTGTTTTAACTCACCAGGGCCACAGAGTGGGCCTCTGCCAGGAGCTGCCTGGCTGGTTGACGGAGCCCGATGCTGAGGCAAACCTCAGCTTTGTCCAGCCAGATGTCCTGAGCACACACATCACTCCTCGGTCGCCCAAAGCCAGCCATTCCACCCACCTCCACCGTCTGAAAAATCACCACAATAGACTATTCACTTTTTATTGATTTAAATGGGAAAGACATACTGTATATAAGTGCAAAAACACACAAGCATCCACACCACCATGGGAAAGAATGGAAGCAACAGAAAAGAAATATTATAAAAGAACTATACCATAGCCAATCTCCATCAATATAAGTCACCTGTGAGCGATTGCTAACAACCCTCTAAGAAGTGATACAACTAGAATAAGTCAAACGTTGTTCATGTTCATAGTCATTTCTTTGAGTTTATTTGAAGCAGAATTGAAAACATCGATATATCTACTTTGTAAGAAGCACCTGATTGGAAGCTTTGTGAAGGCCTCTTCTCTCCTGTGACAAAGCCATCACTTTGTGGCACCTGGAACCATGAACATGAGATCACACGTCATTTAAGCAAAGTGTACAAGCAATAAATCTGTACGGCCGTGTTGTCTTACCCCATCTGTTCTTGTTCTTGGATTTTACTCAGATTCAGGAGCTTCTCCTGATACGGTGAATGTGTCTCCAAACCCAGCTGACTACAGCGCCTCACAATTCTAATTGGGGGAGAAGAAAGAGCCACAAGAGACATAAAAAGTCACTTCATTATTTCTGAAAGTAACTCATTCGGCTATGAGTTGATTCTGGGTTTGGACGGTTGACTGTAAATAAAGCAAGTTTGACTTTAGTCAAATCATTATCTTGTAATGGCACACAATTCAATTAAAGTAAATATATATAATATATTTAAAAACTTGTATGATTTAGCATTGCACTTCGATAACATTTTCAAACTTGCAATGTTCAGTTAAGAAAAAGGATCGAAATCGATGCAGCATAACCAGAGATACCAGGTTTTTAATTCAATGCATTCCTCTTCCCTGTCAAAACCTGGCCTCTAGATTACCCACAATGCAACTGGACTGCGGACAGATCGGTTGGAGTGTGATCGGGTGTGTATTTCCTCTCACATGCAGTACTACTCCCAAAGGACTTTAACATGTAAGAGCTGTGGAGTTTCCCCGTTTAACTCCCCAGTGTTCTTACCTCAGTCGGTAGAGGTCGGAGAGGCTCCTCCTATCCAAAAGGTCATGAGCGATGGTCTCAGCAAGATGCATGATGGGCAGCGTCAGGTGGTCGAGTGAGAGGGAGTGGAGCTCCTTTTCCAGCAGGTCGAGATAAAACAGGCTTTGAGTCTGCAGCCAAACAACATATATAAAAAGATAAATAAAAATCATATTCTTACGGGCATAGCCGAAAAATGTTACATATGTATACTATCCGGTGCTTTATCAGAACAGGAAGTGTCTCAACACATACTTCCATCCCATTTTGGTGGTACAACACATATTGATTTCAGAATGCTGAAGTTTCAACCTCTTATAACATCAGAATGTGACCCACAGAGATCAATAAATGCACTTCCTCTTCACCAACAAATAACAGCATCTTAGAGCGACATTGACACCAAGTGGATGTTTTTTTTCCCAGCTACACCATTAGTTCTATACAACCAGCAGCTACAATCCCTGCTATGCTGAAAACCAGACTGAAATGAGGGACAACACCATACCCGGTATAGTGATGACACTGAGAGACCTGCCTGCTTTGTAATGCTGTGTGCATTGATGCAGTGGGGCTGAGTGTTGGTTCTGAAGATGAGCCGGGCCTGTTCAGGACAGACGTAGCGAGCCCAGTCCTGTGGCGTGGAAGGAAGCTCCTGATCCAAGACAACGGCTTTATGTCTCTCTTCTGCAGGGGTAGGCTGGTCGAAACAGATTATTTTGATATATTAAACGGTAAATGACTGTTATTGACAAACTAGTAAAGCAATCGCTTTATCATTCGAAGGTAAATACCTAGGGCTTTACACTAAGCCGTGTAAAACAACGACATTCAAAATGAAGTTTGAGCAATAAGACTTACAGCTTTCCCTTTTCTGCCCTTGGCTTTGTCCCTTTTGGATGAAGCAGAGGTCGGAGGCTGGCTCTTTGCCATCTCATTGGAAATCTCCCAAACTACCGCCATGGACACCTGGAGTGACAGACGGTGCACACATGCGCACGCTCCACACAACTTAAACATTCGACTATGCATTTGAACAACAGCCTCATCGTCCACATTGTCAGAGTTAGAGACGCACTACCTGCCATATCCGCAGCACAAAGACACAGGCTCTGAGCAGGTTAAGCTGGTGCTCAGGTGAAGTCCTGTCCGCCATGACAGCGAGCAGTGCGTGTGCTCGTACCAAGCTGTCGAGGCGCCGCACATCCTTCAGATCCGACAAACTTTCCGTCAATAACACGCCCCGTACTCCCACCAGGGACTCGCCTTCCACTGAGCTCAGATCCTGTTTTTTGGAGTCGTCCTCTAGAGGAAAAATAACATGAAAGATTAACTGTGACAAAGAGTTTAACAGATGTGTAGAATAATCTGGAAGTATAATTGCACAGCATCATTAGCGGCCATTACACTAAGAATAACAAATGAAGCTAACAATGCAGAGGCACATATCTCTGTAATTAGTTTCCACTTGTTCTGTTATTTGGGTGTTCAGTTGGTCTCTCAGGGAATAGTTAATGGGGCTCATAGCAGGAGAGTACAAAGGACCTCTCACGGTCTTTTAAATAGCGCTACACTATGCTCACATGGGAGGTTGAGAAATCTGCTTCTTTGTCTGGTCAGTTTCTTTTCCTCTGAAGAATAATTGCTTTGTTTAATGTTTACACAATCTAAATGAGGGTACAAATTGCTGATGCAATTATCAAAAAGCTGTGGCACAGCTCCTTTCTGGATCAGACGGATCAGATGTTACTGCTCAGACTAACACTGTGTTGCCCACATGGGTCCCTCAAGGGGAATTCTGAAAATCTGTTCCTGTAGATTTTAAGAGTACACGGTAGCATAATTAACACAACTAACTGGTCAGTCACACAGTTGTGATACAATGAACAAGATGAGTCGATGCGTTCTACCTGATCCTTCTGCCTGTTCACTTTCCAAGTGTAGAAGGATGTCTATGGCCCACTGGACCTGGTGTTGGGCATCGGCTTCGGGGAAGTTGTGACAGTACAACCACTCTCCAAACTCCAGCAGAAGGCTGACCTTCTGCCACGGAGTCTCTTCACTCTGTTCACAAACACAAAAGTCAATCAAATCAAAAGTTGTTGTTTTTTCCATGTTGTGTTTGTTTAATAGTTGACAGGAAACAGTCCTTTATGTGGCCTGGAGCTTGGGATGAAGTGACGTCTTTAGATGGTAGAAAGGATTTATTTCATCCTAAGCCGAACTCTTACCCTAACCTTTAATTTATCCCCAATTGAGAGGCTCTCCTCCTGTATTCCAAGGGACAACTTGGAAACACAGTCACACTGACGTAGTGGCTCCACATGATGGTGCTAGAGACTTAGATAAAAATGTTACCTTTGCTCAGTGCCAAAAGACACAATAAATAAAAGGAATAACTTTAAGACTAGACTTCTCCATTATGACAGATTCCAACATGATCTATCTGCATTAATCTGCTGACGTACCAGGTTTAAGTAATTATACAGATATGGTGCCAGAACATTACCGACAGAGAGGTGATGGACTTCTGGTAGCAGGTGAGCTGCTGGGTTATGTTGCCAGCACACAGTGCCACCCGGTGCCACATTAGTGAACAGCACGGCTCTCCTTCGTCTTGTAACTTCTGCATGTCCGTCAGTACGCTTTTCCCCTGTTGAGCTTTGAGCAGTATTCTGTGTTTCAGCAGCGGTCTGGTAAAACACAGAGGACAATACCATATGTTTCTGTCAGTCTCGTATCCTTTCCCTCCCCTGTGTGTTATTTCTTCTTTTCTGTGTTTTTTACTCACAGCCGGTGTCTGGTGCGAGGCATGTCTCTGATAGCTCGGTCCAGCAGCTGCAGAGCACTTTTCCAGTCGGTTTTATCGATGTGGATGTGGAGCAACAGACTGTATATGGCTGCTCTCAGGGCGAGGTCCTCTTCATCTGCTCACATGCATAGATACACAGGAATTCTGTTCAGATGTTTGATCCGTGTTGTCATGTAAGTGTGTGTTCACAACGCCATTATCAGCGTAGATCTAAGAAACTCAGCTCTCCCAGATAGCCCATCCAAATGCAAATGTCACAGCTTCAAAAAAAAAAAGCGTAATTGTTTATTGTGGAATGAATATAAATAATAGATGGAACAAGAAATTGTTAGAGTAGACCAGGTACATAGGCGGTCAATCAGATTCCTAGCAGGAAGCAGAACAAAACATGAAGCCATCTGAAAATGACCAAACAGAGATTTCACAACTGAGCCCTGTCGGGGTTCTTCTACCACTCACCTGTTGCTTCATGCTTAGAACTCCCAAGAGGCAGTGCTGTCAAGGTGAGCGAGCCTTTCACTTTGCCCTGCTTCTGAAATAAAAAGGGAAAGGATTAACACTTAAGTCGCTACAGCAGGAGAGTTCTGCTGGTGCTGGTGGGTGTTTGGTCGTACTCAAAGCTCACTGACGTATAACATAAATTGCTATCTGACTATCATCCTGCCCCCTTATCTGTCATCATTCTGAATCCTCAAATGAGCCGTTAATTATGGATGTGAAGTCATTTTTGCATTGGAAGGCGTGTTTATCCTCCTGGCTGGATCGCTGTCCATAGGCGTCATTTGGGAGACGCTTTTTTTTTTTCCCCCCACACTTCTGCCCTCAAGAAAATGTGTTTCATCAATTAAAGATGACTGAGCAAGTTAAAGAACTGTGCTGCCTATTTTACTCAGCTTTAGAGCAACCAAACTGAAGTTGTTGGAAAGAAAATAGCAGAACATGAAAGGTCAGTTTGTCTGTCATTCAATCCTTGTTTTGCTCACTTGTTATTCATTTTGATGCTAGTGCTTCTTTTTGGCAGAGCTTTCGCCCTGTCAGCAGCTGGCATGACTAAAAAATGTAAAGTGTCGGGAAAGACTTGTCTGATGCCGGGGCTGGAGCATTTCAGCAGAGGGGCAGACTCTGTGTTGTTGGTTTCCCTTGTTGCTGTGCTGTGCTGTGCTGTGTATGTATGTATGTATGTATGTATGTATGTATGTATGTATGTATGTATATATATATATATATACACACACACACACACACACACACACACACACACACACACACACACATTGAAATGTAACCTTTGTGAAACAATTTCAAACTTTGATGTTTATCTGGAGGGTCAATTTGTGTGGGGATGTACAATTTTTGTCTTCAACATGTCGTCAGTTTTGTGCCTTTATATAGTAAATGATCATTTTTGCCATTTTTTGCAAATACCTGGGGGGGGGTCCAAACCAACATGGAAACAATGTATATGGGTTAGAGTGAATGAGTAAATATTACTAATGAAGGGTCCATACGTTTGCATGCTTGATGTTGGTGTTAACCAGAGCAGTCAGGATCTTCTCCAGGGGCTCTTGGAGCTGCCATCTTTCCCCAGGAGACTGAGTCAGGGGTAGACATGTGTTCCAGTAATGCCTGGCAGCTGCCACACACAACGCTGGATCCTCAGCCTTCTCTGCATCGCTATGGACACAAGAAGATAGCCAACACATGTAAGGTTTAGAAAGGTTTCGAGTAAGAGGAACTTTTTTTTAAACTTTTATGGCTGCCCATGGCTTTATTCGATACATAATGTGACTGTAAACAGCACCTGACACTGGACAGAAGCACCTTCATAGCCTCCCTGTAGGTGTGTAGATCTCCACTGGACTCGTGGACTAAACTCAAACCTCGCAAACAAGCGGCACTGCTCAGCAGTTCGTTCACCGCAGGCAGGCCGTACCTAGGGATATGAGGAAATGCATTAGCTGCCAATCAAAGTCAAATCAATCAAAATGAAAAAAATAAATATGACATGCCCTAAATATATGTGAAACTTTGCATACTTCGCAACTTCAAAAAAGGAAAGCAACGCTTGCTCATCAACTGCAATACTCTTGTATATGCACAAGATGTCACTTCCTCCTCAGAGAGCTTTGGAAGCACAAATCTCAACCACTCCTAACACCCACTCATAGTGCTTTCCGTAACCGAGCACACACATGTTGTCTCTCTCTCTCTTTTTTTTTTAAAAGAGTTGGAAAACAACAGATCTACCCCGGGCATTTCTAAAATTGTCTTATTGTGTAAATCAATTGTAATCAGCCAACTACACTTACAAAACACAGGGCATGGCGCTGAGGCTCTTTGCTGCTGCTTCTTCCAGCTGCAGAGCACGCTCGGTGCAGCGCAGCACCAAGCTGTGGTCCTTAGCATGGTGGCAGCAGGCAGCCAGCTGGCACCACACCTGCAACTCCACCACGGCGTCAGTCCAGCTGCATTCAGACGCCATGCTCACCAGCTTTCAGGCGAGGAGAGAGGTGAGAGGGGAGGGGAGTGAATGGGAGGAGGAAGAGGAGGAGGAGAGGAGGGTGATGAGGGAAAAGAGGGGGAAGATTGAGAGAGAGAAAAGGGAGGGTGAGAAAAGACGAGGGGCAATTAAATGTGAGAGAATGAAAATATGGGAGGGGGGAAAAGTAATGCAGGGAGGGAATGGAGAAAATTGGGAGGAGAGAGTAAAAGGGGGAAAGGCAAAGAGTGTGATGGAAGACAAAAAGCAGAACAGGGAGGGAAAAGACAGGAGGCGGTAAGCAGAGGAGTTGAGTCAAAAAAGTAAAGACAAGCATGAGAAAAAGAAGGACGAGTACGGAGTGAAGGTGTGGAGCAAATTTTGGAGGTAGTCAGGGGATGGAGGGAAAGGTAGACAAGGAGTGAGGTGAGTGATTAGAGGTACACAGGAAATGAAACATTAGAAGGAAGAAGATTAAAGGAGAGAAGTGGAGAGAAAAAAAGAAAAGGAAGGACAAGAGGGTGATGGAAAAAAGAAATGTATAGAATTCAAAAGACGAGAGGAAGGAGTGAATGATAATGGGGAGGAAAGGAAGGAGGAGAGACAAGGAGACGTGGACGGATAAGAGACAAAAGATAAAACATGTGGAAAAAGGTCAAAGGGCGTCAAGAAGAAGGATTCTCCACAGAGTTACAAAGTTTAGACCCAACTAAAGCACTATTATGGAGGCAGCTGCAGTAGTTTTGAAGATATTGACACATGATGAGATGCAGACAGGGTCTGTGTGCACACGGGCCACCTCGCCATCTGTTGTCCCCATCTGGGCAACAGCTACTGTAGAGAAAACCGTGAGCAGAGACGTATGTACCGACGGGAGACCGGGAACACAGAACTCCCCATGCCTCAGGTTCCTGTTGCACTGGAGCATCTCCACTGCAACCAGCACGCGCGTCATCGCCGACACCTCCTCGTTCTCACACTGCAAAGACGGGGAAGAAAACAATGCACGCTGAGCAACGCGGTCCCCTGCTGAACACACACCAATCCTATATGTTTAATTATAGAAAATACAGATACATGTATTATTATTCGCTTATAAATCATACATGAAGCTGCAGTGGGATTATCATATTGCATGTTTCCTGACCTCAGTTGATAATGTATGACTTGCTATTGTGTGGAAAATGAGTTAATGAAGGATTTATATAAACGCTGCACTTATTAATTTGCAATGCGAGAAACAAACCTTGTGTAGCTGTGACTCAAAGCACATCAGGCTGAAGCGACTGATGCAGAGCAGCAAATTCTTGGCTGACAAACAGTCAAAGGATTGTGGTGACTGTGGTGAGCTGACAAATTGTATAAGCGCTTTCCCCAACATTTCTGTCCCCGCTGTGGAGCCGCACAATCAAGAAATATGGCATACGGAGATGATCGCAGTCCAGCGGATACAATGCTGTAATATGGAAATAGCACCTACCGCATCAAAAAGATGAATAAAAATGTCATCAGCTACAATAGCATAAGCCCATTAAAGAAGAACCATAATGTAATACAGGATACATTATGCATGTGACGTGATTATGTTATGACAACAGTCTCAGCGAGTATTCACTCTTCTTTACATTTCACATTTTTTTGTGTTGGACAACAAAAGCTTTCAAAACAGATTTTTTTTAAATCTCAGACATAGTATACATAGGGATACCATCCCCTCCAAGAAATAAAAAATAAATAAGTTCACAAACATTGCAATACTGACGGGTTTCTGTTGTTTTTCTTGGACATTATCAGCTGGAGCAGCAAAGCCGGGTTAAAGCCATTCACCGCAGCAAAGTGCAGCTGCAGGCCTGCCCCGTCCCAGACTACCGCTCACGCACTCACAGCAAGACAACAACAATGTACTGGAGATGGGGAGAGGATGAGGTCGTCGATGAGGATATGGTTCATAACGGTGGAGAGCAGTGAAAGTGAAAGGTGCTCTAGCTCGATCAAAGTGTTCCAGTTGTAACGCATTGTGTAACGAGTGCCGTGAGTTTTCTGCTCTGAGCCTTTTGGGTTTACTTGTTTTTAAACACGTTCCAGGACTCATGTGGTCTACTTGTCCATGTTTTACTCCCTTCTCTCGTATTTGAGGATATTATTTAGCAATAGTCACAACAGTTTGGTGTGGTACCATTGTTTTCTCAAAGTATCGGCTATTAGTCTGTGAATTAACATTAAAAATGTTCTGCATCGTTTGGATTATTGTGTTTATAAATAGCTTTCAATTTATAACTAATTTGAAGTTATTCCATTTATTTCAAATACATACAAGTTATCTTTTCGATCCCATCGATACAGCGTTCTTTAAAACTCCATCATATTGGCCCAAGAGTGGAAATATGGTCACTTCTGGTTTAAATTGACAGAAAAGGATTCGGCATCCTGAATAACGCCCGAAACGCACTCCAGTATTGTTCAAATCAGCAAAGTAATTGCTGAAATACAGATGATTATGCTAATTCATGTGAATAATGCCAATTATGCAAACTGCCCAACATATGCAAGTTAGCATCCAGCAGCTTCTAAATGCTGGGGACCCATACTGTACATTTCTAACATAAAACCTCGGGGTATATTGGGCTCTTTAGACTGGCATGTGGACTAATTTAGGAAGTCAAAGCTCAAACTTAGTAATGATTCATGAATACTGTAACTGGTGCAACCCAATCCTGGACTACAATGTAATGAACTAGGGTCCCCACTCTTCTCTAGAGATCCTGTTCCAGGACTTTGTCAGTGATGATCTAGCTGTTATGACAGACAGGGATTGCACCACACACTAATATGTTCCTCTCTGTGGAAGGTAGATTTAAAAGACGTGCAGTCTATGGCTAGAACTTGCCATCCATCAAAATGATCTCCTACAGGCTGAGCAATGATGACACATCATAGACCAGCCAGCAGAGAATGGTACCTCATCTTTAGTGTCCATCTTTGAGCCAATCTCCTGCTGCAGCAGCCTCCTGACCTGCACCCACGTGGCCACCACCCGTTTCCTTGCTGCGATGGGGGCGGCCTCCCCTGGGGTGTTACAGGTGGACATGCGAAGGCCGAAGTCACACAGCTGGGAGGAAGTGTAGAAAACGACAATGAGCTTGCATTGGTGCGGTATTAGCAGCCTGAGAAGCTCAATAAGTAGAACACGACATTAACAGTGAGGATGCTGCATGATCCTGAATGACATTTAAAATGTAAATGTGAATCATAGTGTCTGTCAAATACCATACATTATTCTATGTATCTATAAGAAGCCTTTCTGTAGCCAGAGGCCCTCTGCCAGCCTGCCAGCTGCAGGCACGGCCAACATACACGAAAGAGTTCAGTTCAGGCTATTTACATAAAATGCATCGGAAAGGATCACTTTTTTTTATCTTTCCAGCAAAGAGGAAACAGACGCGATGGAATTGAGTTAATAATTCACTGATAAAGTGCCTTTCATCTGGAGTTAGAGCCGATATTCATGGTGGATCATTTGAATAGAAAAGGAGAACGGAAACAGGGCTCGACTGGCAACTGCAGCTCATACAGAGAGCAGAGACATGAGACGAGACACAGTCACGGGAGCGACATGTGTGTTAAGCTATGAAGGGGATAACAAACTGTATATCTTCCTGATGCTATGTTCACACTACGAGCGACAAAGCGTCTGGCTACATTGTCGCCGTTGAAGTGTCTCTCAAGTGCTTGTTGACGTAGTTCTGGCGTAAAATAGCTCTGAGAACCGGCTAACGGTTTGTTTTTCTTCCATTTTATTTTTACGACGGAACGGAACAGGAATTGTGGGTAGATAAAACCTTAAGTTACAGTTACAGTCTTGTCTGTTTTGGTGAACCCACTTACCTTTTTAGCATAATAATACTGGACCTATGGGCTGAATTACAGAACATTCCAGGTGATGGATTTATATGAAGCTTACTAGCCAGTCACACTTGATGGAGGATGACATGAAGTGTGATAGCTCCAAAATAACATGGAAAAACAGGTCAGGATAATTCATAAAATTAAGAGAGAACATTCGGAAGGTTGAAAGTGAGCTGCACTGTTTCCCCTTCCCTTGCCTTGGGGGTTCATTGCAGCCATCATTGTGCCAACATTGCACAACAGCCTTTGAATGATGTTTTAGACGTCTATTATTTACTTGTTATTAGGAGAGTAATTCGCCACTTCACAAAAAAACATTCGACACATTCTATAATAAGGTCAGAAAATGGAGGGTAGAACTTTGCCGTCCTGGGAACAGCTGATTTTTACGGCAAGCTGACAAGTGGTATTAGTGTTATAGCTGACCCGTTTACATTTATTTCTCCCCACGAAAGTCATCTCTCAAATATATAATGCAACACTATCAGCCAATAGGCATCAGACGATTAATCTGCCATCATCCAAACTATCGTTCTTATATTGGCCAATAAAAGTCCACTATCGGCCCACCTCTAGTTTGAAACTTTAAAAAGAGTCGACAGTGTGGAAAACGTTTCATACATATCTGCACAAAAGATTACAACTTGGAGTTTCTGAACACGTCTCGCAAAGATTCAGCAAATTCCATTCAGAGATTATGCACGCACTCCTTTCTGCTATTTTGTGAGATTCTGATCCGTTCTTAAGCTTTGAATGATGGAATTCTTTGTTTTCACAGTGGAGAGATCAGAGAGGGAAAAACAAAAAGCAGCTCAAGCCACCGCAATCAGCCTGGGAGGGTCAATCGTGTTCACTTCAACAGAATGCAACAAATCAAACTTCAAACCCAAAATATTTTGCTTTACTTTACTTTGTGATGTATGGACATGTAGGAGCCAGAAAGACTGGGGCCCGTGTCGTCATGATTACATGATACCTCGAGAGTTCTAAACCCTCTAGAACTCATTGATTGTTCTTTACCATTTCATTAATTATGTATCTGCTACAGAGGTTTTTGGACAGAATTAGTGACTGCACAATAACCACTGGAGTCTGAACAGATAGTTGTAAGTAGTTCTCTATGTTGATAGGCTTCTGAATCTATATGCAGATATGGTGATGTCATTAATTGTTTTGCAAATGAATGCGGATTTAATGAGTGTTAATAGAAATGTAAGAGAGGACATTTTGATGCAAATTTATAGTGATGTGTGCAACATTTATGCAAATGTGTTGCGACATAGGAGGTTTATATCCAACTTTGGTTATCATTTTATAATAACATACGGAGCCTTTGCACATGTTGGCAACAAAGGCACTTTTATTGGTTAGTTTAAAAGGATATTTTATGAGATCGAAGACTAATTCTTCAATAATGTCACTGAAAATTAACAAAACCGAATGTCAGTGTTTGTCACAAACGCTTCCATGGTACTGATTATTAAATCTACTCGTAGAAACATTTTGTCACACTCACTCACTCACTCACACACACACACACATTAGCAGCATCGCACTCCCACACACCGACATACCTCAGATGCCTTACGGACATCCTGAAGGGCAGCAGGGTCTAAGAAAGCCCCGTGGGCACTGGCAGCCTTCTCCTGTCTGTTTCTACCCTCGTCTCCTGGCGGGGCTTGCTCGGCGCTGTCTGGTCCGCACAGAGGCTGAATCAATCCCCGGGCCACAGCATCACAGAGCAGCACGAACAGAGTGCGGTTCCTGAAGAAATACAATAACGAGAATGCTCCAAACTGACATCATCTGGAGAAAAACAAGGACGGGAGTTTGGGCTTACAGGCCAAAGCATACTGTAGTCCTTCTGAAAGTAAAAAAAAAAAAAACGCACCACAGATTTGGACAGCTAGATGTATGATATCACTTAATCCCAACATTCAAGTAATTATTTCTATGCCCAAGGACAGCTTGGTGCGTTTCCATGAACATTCACTGCTTCTTCTTACAGCCAGAAACTAGAGCCGAGCTTAAAGCGCATGTTTTTCTGAGA